TCAGCATCAGCATCAGAAGCAGCATCGTCCCTGTATTCATCATCATCGTCCTCATCACCGTCATCATCCTCATATTCATCATCGTCGTCATCATCATTATCACCATCGACAGCATCACCATCATCGTCATCAGCATCACCATCACCAACAACCTCAACGTCATCAGCATCACCATCACCACCTGCATCATCAGCAGCAGCATCAACGCTATTGTCACTCGTCATCCTCATCCTCATCATCATATGCATCATCATCGTCGTCATCGTCGGCATCGTCACCAATCATCATCACCACCAACATGGTAACCCGACGAATCAGCATCATCACCATCACCATCACCACCACCATCACCATCTTCATCACAACCATCATCCTAATCATCATCACCATCAGCATCACGACCCTCATCAACACCACCACGATCATCATCATGCGCATCATCATCATCATATTCATCCTCATCAGCACCATCATCATGTTAATCACCAGCAGCAGCAGCCACACCATCGTTATCATAAATCAGCATGGTCGTCGTTGTCGTCATAACCATCGCCGTCGCCGTCGTCACCACGGTCACCGTCGTATCACATTCAACATCATCATCACAACAATAGCATCATCATCATCAGCACCAACATCACCATCATCATCAGCATGAGGATCGCCATCATTACGATCATCAGCAGCATCACCATCTTACCATCACCCGCATGATCACCATCCCCATCGCATTCCCTATGCTCATCACCAACATCATCACCATCATCACTACCACCACCACCCTTACCCTCTTTTCCCCCCTTTTCCATCCTCGTCCTCATCCTGCCCGTCGGCACGCCGTGCTGGACGAGCGATGCTCGACGTCCCTGGGCGGCGGGAGGAGGCGTGGAGCGAAAAGAAGCACCTCCAAGGTTCCCAAAAGGGTCTAGCGGGCCCGCCCGGCCAGCTGGCGCGCGCTTTTGCTTGAGTAGCATCACAGCTACGGAGACAATCCCTCCGCATGATCCATGCTCTACCCGCACTCTGCAAGGGAAAGGAGTGGAGGGCTGCAAAAGTATGCGAAGGGAGTGTGAGCAATGACTGAAAAGAGGCACCTCCCAGGCTCCCCAAAGGGTCTTGAGGAGACACAGGTGAGCGTTTTCTTATTCGGCGCTTCGACATTGGGCGGAAAGGGGGGGAGGGGGGGGTTCTGGCCCGGGACCTCTGCTTCGCGCGACGGTCTGCAACCGTGCGTCCTGTGGGGGAGGCTCTGCCTGCCTGAAACAGACGCCCAAAAACGGCCAAGATCTACTCCATGGACGGGAAGGGGGGGTGGGGGGGGTGCGAGGGCCCGCGCCGATCGGCAAAACAATGAATGAGAAAAAAACGATCACCAGAAGGACACACAGCCATCGCGCCACCATGCGGAACTCTGAAGCTGAGGAACGGAGGCACGCCGCGCTGGACGAGCGATGCTCGACGTCCCCAGGCGGCGGGAGGAGGCGTGGAGCGAAAAGAGGCACCTCCCAGGCTCCCGGAGGGAGGAGGAGGAGGAGGAGGAGGAGGAGGAGGAGGACGAGGAGGAGGAGGAGGAGGAGGAAGTGTGTCGATGAGACACAGAAGGACACACAGCCATCGCGCCACCACACGGAGCTCTGCACTCGAGGAGCGGAGGCGCTTCCCTGGCCACGGCGAGCGCCTCGGCTTCTCGAGCAGGCTCCCCGACTCGGCTCTGAGGAACGGCCCGAACACCTGAGCCGACGACGATGACGATTCTGACGATGGTGAGCGTCTTTTTATTCGGCGTTTCGACATTGGGCGGAAGGGGGGGGGAAACGGGGGGGTCTGGCTCTGGACCTCTGCTTCGTGCGACTGTTTGCAACCGTGCGTCCTATGGGGGACACTCCACCTGCTCGAAACAGGCACCAAAACCAGCCCAAATCTACTCCACGGGGGGGGGGAGGAGGGGGTGCGAGGGCCCGCGCCGATCGGCACAAAAACTGATAAAAAACGCTCACATGACGATGTCGATGACGATGACGAGGACCGTCATCGTCATCGTCGTCGTCGTCGTCGACATCGTCATCGTTATCGTCATCCCCTCCTGACCCCAAAAAAGTCCTTGTTTCGCCAGCGTCGTCGTCGACATCGTCATCTTCATCGTCATCCCCTCCTGACCCCAAAAAAGTCCTTGTTTCGCCAGCGTCGTCGTCGACATCGTCATCATCGTCGTCATCCCATCCTGACCCCAAAAAAGTCTTTGTTTCGCCAGCGTCGTCGTCGACATCGTCGTCGTCGTCGTCGTCGTCGTCTCCTGACCCCAAAAAAGAGTCCCTGCTTCGACGTCGTGCCTCTGCCGGCGCCGTGCGCCCCCCCTTGGAGGCGCACGTCCGAGCAGAACATGAATGCACGAGCATCTTCCAGGATACGCCAGACGACGCCCGCCACCCCCTCGCCACTCCCTCCTCCCTCCCTCCCTCTCCCCCTCCCCCTCCCTCCTCCCTCCCTCCCTCCTCCTCCCTCCCTCCTCCCTCCCTCCTCCCTGCTCCCTCCTCCCTCCCTCCCTCCTCCCTCCTCCCTCCTCCCTCCTCCCTCCTCCCTCCTGGCGGCACGGCCAGTAGACGCCCGCCACCGAGCATGCACTTGCTGCAGGGAGGTCTGGGCGCGCGCGTCGCCCCTGGGGGCCCACGCGCCTACAGTATGCGCAAAGTGTGGTTTTTTGCATGATGCCGGCTCGAGCTCGAACCGTATGCGGGCAATAGTTCTATTCATATTCAGTGCGTCTTAGACGATTTTGGGGAAGGGACGCTGCAAGGCCGAGGCGCACTGGATGTGGGTAAAAATCGGGCCTCCAGGGGCCATACCTTCATCCAGATCCAGCACGCCTCGGGTTTCTGGGCAGGGGAGCGCGGAACTCCAAGCGGCACCGGATCTGGACGCAAGTCTTGCCCGCTCTGTACACCACCAATCAGCACGTCACTCCGAATCTTGCCCCCAGGTACGCCTTCTCGAGATCGGTCGGGCGCGCCCATCACTGTAGGCAGCGTTCCGCTACGCACGCCGTCGGCCCAAGCTTCGCACTCTTCCTCCGAAGAGGGAGGCCTCAGGAGATCTCCGACGATGTGAGTTCCTCGAGCGGCGGCTCTCCCTCGATCTCGGCCCTGAGGCCATCACAAATGGGCCCAGGACGAAAGCCTACCCCACGCGGACGTGGTCGGGACATCTGGGGCAACGGATAACAGGGAACGGTTCCTGAGGGAAACGGGCCCTCATCGAGCTTCGAGCCGATGGCGGTATTGTCAGTCAGGGCTAGCGCCAGATCCCCCCATCCCCAGCCTTGGCTGGAGAAGGGAGGGTGAATAACATATAAATGTTGGTGGAGTGAAAGGGCGGTGAGGTAAACGACGACACACGCTCCTCCTCCTCCTGCTCCACCATTCTCGCGCGCGGCCAACACCTAAGAGAGATGGCAGGCTCAGGAGACCTAGAAAGACGGATTGGTACTAGCGCCATGCGCAGCAACAAATGCAAACGCATCCTCCCATGTTTTCTCCTCCTCCTCCTCCTCCTCCTCCTGGTTATCATCGTCACCATCATCGTCGTCATCATCAGCACGAGCATCCTCATCATCAACATCATCATCATCATCATCATCATCATCATCATCATCATCATCATCATCATCATCATCATCATCATCAGCATCAGCATCAGCATCAGCATCAGCATCATCATCAACCTTCCCGTGATCATTATAACCACCATCACCACCCCCACCACCAGCACCACCATCATCATCATTATCATCAGCAGCAGCAGCATCATCATAAGCATCATCATCATCAGCATCATCATCACCATCAACGTCGTCATCACCAATATCATAATCCTCGAAATAATATGTGTGATCATCATCACCAGCATCAGCATCATCATCATCATCATCATCATCATCATCATCATCATCATCATAATCAGCATCATCATCAGTATCATCATCATCACCACCACCATCATCATCATCATCATCATCATCATCATCATCATCATCATCATTCTCCGCACCAGATCAGCATCATCGTCGTCATCATCAGCATGAGCATCCTCATTATACTCATCCTCATCCTCATCAGCATCAGCATCAGCAGCATCATCGCCATCATGATGCACATGATAATCATCATCAGCATCATCATCAGCATCATCATTACCACTACCATCGTCATCATCACTAGCACCAACAGCATAGCCATCATCATCATCGTCATCGTCATCGTCATCGTCCTCATCACCACCACCACCACCATCATCATCATCATCATCATCATCATCGTCATCATCATCATCATCATCGTCATCATCATCATCATCATTATCCGCATCGCCTTCTTCCTCCTCCTCCTCCTCCTCCTCCTCCTCCTCCTCCTCCTCCTCCTCCTCCTCCTCCTCCTCCTCCTCCTCCTCCCTCCTGGGCGCGCCGCCGAGAGTTGGCGGCTGCGGAGGGCGCCACGCGCCGGGCGCGCGCCCAGGGCGCGCGCCAGCGGCGACTCAGGGCCTCGGAGGAAGGAGGATGCTGATAGGAGGATCGAGGATCGTGGAGGAGGAGGAGGAGGAGGAGGAGGAGGAGGAGGATCGAGGAGAAGGAGGAGGAGGATCGAGGAGGAGGAGGAGGAGGAGGATCGAGGAGGAGGATCGAGGAGGAGGAGGAGGAGGCGCCCTCTCGACTCCCAGCCTTCGCCGACCTCGCGGAGGGATGCTGGGAGGCCTCCTGGCTGGCGCCCTCGAGGCCTCCTGCCAGAGGCCGCCCTGGTCCTCGAGGCCTCCTGCCAGAGGCCTCCTGCTGGAGTCCTCCTGCCAGAGGCCTCCTGCCATAGGCCTCCTGCCAGAGGCCTCCTGCTAGAGGCCTCCTAGAGGCCTCTAGCTGAAGCATCCCTGGTCCTCGAGGCCTCCTGCCAGAGGCCTCCTGCCAGAGGCCTCCTGCTAGAGGCCTCCTGCTGGAGGCCTCACGCGCGCGACCTTTTCACGAGCAGCGGCGAAAGTACCCGTATCTAGAGGACTCCTGGATGGGGTCCGAGCAGATAGGATCGGATGATCGTGTCGCATCGCCGATGCATCGGCGCCGTCGGCGTGGAGAAAGTCGGGCTCCACCTCGCGCCGCATCGCCGATACATCGGCGATGCATCGGCGATGCGGCGCGATCCTCCGACCCCGTCTGCTCCGAACCCCTCTGGGAGGCCTGGAATCAAGTCGGGCCTGTCCCCCATACGGGGGGACTTTGGACGAAAACTGAAACATGCCCCAAACATACTGCCAACCTGCCCAGACAAATCGTCAACAAAATAGCCCCCCCGACGATTTCTCGACGATGCTCGAGCAATTCCCCCCTGCAGAGGGACCCGCCCGACGTGAGCCTCGAAGGAGCTCGGCGCACTCGACGCCCAGCCGGCTTCTTCGCCCTCGCGGCAGGGAGCCGCGCGCCCGCCCTCGCGCAGAGTGAGCCGCACGCCGCCCCCCGGCGCCGCCGGGGGCAAGGCGCCGCGTCGCAGCGGGAAGCTCTGGGCGGGCAGCCTTCGGGGAGGGCCCTTGGCGAGGACGAGGAAAGAGCGAAAGGGGGCCCTGGGGCACGCAGATAGATGGACACGGATCACAGGATTCCCCACAGGTTCCCACATCTTCTGGGCAGGCAACTATTCGGGGAGGGCCTCGGCGAGGACGAGGAGAGAGTGAACGGGGGCCCTGGGGCACGCAGATAGATAGACACAGATCACAGGATTCCCCACAGGTTCCCACAGCTTCTGGGCAACTTCGGGGAGGGCCCTGGCGAGGACGAGGAGAGAGCGAAGGGAGGCCCTGGGGCACGCAAACAGAGAGACACAGATCACAGGATTCCCCCTAGGTTCCCATATCTTCTGGGCAGCTTCGGGGAGGGCCCTGGCGAGGACGAGGAAGGAGTGAAGGGGGGCCCTGGGGCACGCAAATAGAGAGACACAGAGCACAGGATTCCCCCTAGGTTCCCATAGCTTCTGGGCAACTTCGGGGAGGGCCTCGGCGAGGACGAGGAGAGAGTGAACGGGGGCCCTGGGGCACGCAGATAGATGGACACGGATCACAGGATTCCCCCTAGGTTCCCACATCTTCTGGGCAACCTTCGGGGAGGGCCCTGGCGAGGACGAGGAGAGAGTGAAAGGGGGCCCTGGGGCACGCAGATAGAGAGACACAGATCACAGGATTCCCCACAGGTTCCCATAGCTTCTGGGCAACCTTCGGGGAGGGCCCTGGCGAGGACGAGGAAAGAGCGAACGGGGGCCCTGGGGCACGCAAACAGATAGACACAGATCACAGGATTCCCCCTCGGTTCCCATATCTTCTGGGCAGCTTCGGGGAGGGCCCTAGCGAGGACGAGGAAAGAACGAAAAGGGCCCAGGGGCACGCAAATAGATAGACACAGATCACAGGATTCCCCCTAGGTTCCCACATCTTCTGGGCAACTTCGGGGAGGGCCTTGGCGAGGACGAGGAAAGAGCGAACGGGGGCCCTGGGGCACGCAGATAGATGGACACGGATCACAGGATTCCCCACAGGTTCCCATATCTTCTGGGCAACTTCGGGGAGGGCCTTGGCGAGGACGAGAAGAGAGTGAAAGGGGGCCCTGGGGCAGGCAAATAGAGAGACACAGATCACAGGATTCCCCCTAGGTTCCCACATCTTCTGGGCAACTTCGGGGAGGGCCTTGGCGAGGACGAGGAAAGAGTGAACGGGGGCTCTGGGGCACGCAAATAGAGAGACACAGATCACAGGATTCCCCATAGTTTCCCACATCTTGTGGGCAACTTCGGGGAGGGCCTCGGCGAGGACGAGGAAGGAGCGAAGGGGGCCCTGGGGCACGCAAACAGATAGACACAGATCACAGGATTCCCCATAGGTTCCCATATCTTCTGGGCAACTTCGGGGAGGGCCTTGGCGAGGACGAGGAAAAAGTGAAAAGGGCCCTGGGGCACGCAAATAGATAGACACAGATCACAGGATTCCCCATATCTTCCCATATCTTGTGGGCTTCCGTCTTCCCCCCCACTTCCCACATTTTCGCCTAGTTTCCTCGGAATCGACGATAACTTGTGTCTGTGTGTGTTTTTTCCCTCCTGAATGAAAGGCTGTCCCTGAGATCCCGGCGTTGCATTTTCCGCACGGGGCGTCTTCGCCGGGTTTCGGACCCCGAGGCCCTCACGGGTCGATCGAGCGATCGAGAAGGGCGCACTGCTTCGCGACACTCGGATCCCAGGGATCAAGCCCGATGAAGGGGCCATTGAGCTAGAGCAGCTCAGATGAAGCCCAGGATTAAGCCGGCTGCAGCGGGATTAGCTGGGCCTGTGCTGGATCAGGCTGGCTTTCGACCACGGATGATCCAAGCGCCGATGCTGAACTGAACCCCTCCTTCCCCACCTCCTCATTCCCCCTCCTCCTCCTCTCCTCCTCCTCCTCCTCCTCCTCCTCCTCCTCCTCCTCCTCCTCCTCCTCCTCCTCCTCCTCCTCCTCCTCCTCCTCCTCCTCCTCCTCCTCCTCCTCCTCCTCCCCTCCCAGGAGCTGCCTCCCGAAGGAGGCCAGACCCTGCCGACCTCGGCGGCGAGCCCGTCGCCCCCGAGGATCGGAGGAGGGCCCGCCGAGACAGCGGCAGCGGCTCTCCCGCTCAGCTCCGCACAGCTCCGCCCCGAGGCTGGCCACCCGGACCCCTCGGGGACCCCTCCGCGGTTCCGTCCTGATCCGCCTCCTGCTAGAGGCGGCCCCGGCCGCGGCGACGAGAGGTCCCTGGGAGGCCCAGGCAGGACGTAAAAACACGCCCCGTGGGGCCCTGGCGGCGCGCACAAGGGGGGTGGGGGGAGGGGGGGGGGGCTTCTCAGAAAGCAGGCTGCTTCTCAGAAGGCGCCGGAATACATCTATAGATAAGGCCCGCGCCTTCTAAGAAGCAGGGGTGCTTCTAAGAAGCCTCCCCCCTCCCCCCACCCCCCTCTGCGCGTGGCTGACTAACGTCCGCCGATGCTCACTTGTTCGAGGCGCGGCTCCTGAGGTCCCGACCCCCTCCCAGGAGAACTCCTGCGCCCCAGTTCCAGCTCTGATGGCAGGTGGGGCCCGAGGACGGCCCCCGAAGGCCGAATCCCAGGAAGAGCATACCGGACTGCAAAAGCCCGGCGCAGAGCCCAACAAGATGCAGCTGTGAGCACCGCAAGTGTAGGCACCGTCTGAGGAGGCTCTCCCTTGTGGGGCGACGCCCGCATGCGGGCTGTGTCGCTGGGGCCTTCGGTGGAGCCCCCTGTGGAGACGGCCGACGAGGGTGGCGCCCTCATGCGGGCTGCGCCACTGGGACCCTGGGTGCAGCTCCCTATCGGGCCACGAAACGTGCGAAGGGTGTGCACACACGGGAGTGGTGATGGTGATGGTGATGGTGATGGTGATGGTGATGGTGATGGTGATGGTGATGGTGATGGTGATGGTGATGGTGATGGTGATGGTGATGGTGATGGTGATGGTGATGGTGATGGTGGTGATGGTGATGGTGATGGTGATGGTGATGGTGATGGTGATGGTGATGGTGATGGTGATGGTGATGGTGATGGTGATGGTGATGGTGATGGTGATGGTGATGGTGGTGATAGGAGTGGTAATAATGATGGTGATGATGATGATGATGATGGTGATGGTGATGGTGATGGTGATGGTGATGGTGATGGTGATGGTGATGGTGGTGATGATGATGATGATGATGATGATGATGATGATGATGATGGTGTTGGTGCTGGTGCTGGTGATGGTGATGGTGATGGTGATGGTGGTGGTTGTGATTATGATTATAATGATGGTGTTGATAGTGGTGCTGGTGATGGTGATGGTGATGGTGATGGTAATGATGTTGATGGTGATGATGATGATGATGATGATGATGATGATGATGGTGCTGCTGATGATGAAGAGGAGGGTGGTGATGATGTTGATGATGATGTTGACGATGATGGCAATTACGATGAGTATGATGATGAGGTTGATGATGATGGTGGTGATGATGATGTTGATGCTGATCATGATGGTGATGTTGATGCTGATGATGAGTATGATGAGGATTATGATGATGATGCTGATGATGATGGTGAAGATGACGATAATGGTGGTGGTGGTGGCGATGATGATGATAATGATAATGATGACGATGTTGATGATGATGGTGATGATGCTGATAATGGTGGTGACGATGATGGTGATGATGATGGTTGTGGTGATGAGGAGGATGATGAGGACGATGACGATGACGATGACGATGATGATGAGATTGACGATGATGATGATAATGATAATTATGGTGATGATGATGGTGATTATGATGTTGATGATGGTGATATGAGAAGGAAGAAGATGACAGCGGGTGGAGAGGAGGGAGGAGGAGGAAGGAGTGAGGGAGACGCGGCGCGCTGTCTCTTCAAATCGTGGACCCAACAACACAGGATAGTCGGGAAAAGAATGTGGCCGCCCGCGGCTTGCAGACGTGCAGGGCAGCTTCGATCGCTTTGGTGGGAGAGGATTGGGAGTGACAGGAGGAGGATAATTGAGTTGCACGATATGTGGCGCTATGCAATTTAGTGTGCCCAGGGGCAAGATCTGAGACGGAATGCCACCGCCATTAGAGACCTCCCAGAAGGGGGTCGAGCAGATGGGGTCGGACGATCGCGCCGCATCGCCGACGCATCACCGACGCTGGCGTGGAAAAAATGGGCTCCGCGTCGATCCGCAACGCCGATGACATCGGCGATGCGTCGCGATCGTCTGACCCAATCTGTACGCTCGGTGGCTTCGAGTCATAAGTAGCTCGGGACCCTGGCGGTCGTTCAGGACAATCTAGGCACCCCCGAGAGGCTCTCGACGAGGCGCTGCTGTCGGAAAGCATGCCGAGGCCAGAAAGCCTTCAAAAACCAACAGGGTCGACCGAAAACTTTGGAAACGAACCTCCAGACACCACCTCGGCGCACCCAGACCCCATCTGGGAGGTCTAGAGCTAAGTCTGGCCTGTCCCTCTACGCGAGGAATATGCCAAAATAGTCAAAAAATCATCTGGGGACGACTTTTTGATTATTTCTTGACCACTTTGGACGGTTCTTTGCATATGTTTTAAATGTTTCGCCCAGGATCCGCCTGCATGGGGGACATGCCCGACCTAAGTCTGGAGCCGTGCCGCGTCCTGCTCCTCCCCCTCTCTAGGGGGCCACATGCGAACCCTGCCCCTACCCTTACGTAAGGCCTGTCCACTTACAGGGGGATTTTGGATGAAAAATAAGAAATACCCCAAGAATACCCCCAAAATGCCCAAAAATTGTCAAAAATAGTCCCGTGACTATTTTTGCATATTCCCCCTGTAGAGGGACAAGCCCGACTTAACCCTACCCCCCACGATTTCTGAGGGGGAGGGTGCGCTTCACTTCGCTCGGGAGCTCCCAGCGAAGTGCACCCCACCCTCCCCGTCAGAAATCGTGGATGGCAGGGGCAGGGCTCGCATGTGGCCCCCTGCTCCTGCTCGCCCTCCGCAACCTCGCCTCTTGCATCACCCGCGCGCGCAGCCCCCTCGCCGCGCGGGCGCGGGGGGCGCGCCCGGCGCACCCGCGCCCTCCTCTGAGAAGCAGCGCGCCCACTCCTGCAGCGGCGCGCCGTCCGGCAGGCGCAGCTCCAGCCGCCCGTGCGGCAGCTCCTGCCAGCGCCCGTCGCCCAGCAGCAGCACGAGCTGCACCGGCTCTGCCCGCGCGGCCCCCTCGAGGGTGACGGTCCTTCGGGGAGCAGGCGCTGACATGAGCACAAAAAGCTCGGAGGTCCGCGCGGATTCCTCGTCGCGGCGCTGCCCCCCGGCGGCGCCTCCGGCGCCGCCCCTGACGCGCTCCGCGCGCCACGGAGGGGGTCCAGCGCCGGTCCGAGGGAACCGCGCGAACCTCCGAGCTTTCATTGTCTGTGTCCTTGCTTTTGCTCCCCCAGTCCTCGAGGCCAAGTCCACGCGCGCGGCCTCTCACGAGCGGCGAAAGTAATTATCCGTATCTAGAGGCCTCCTGGATGGGGTCCGAGCAGAAAGGGGCCGGAGGATCGCGCTGCATCTCCGATGCATCGCCGATGCATCGCCGATGCATCGCCGATGCATCGACGATGCATCGGCGATACATCGGCGACGTCGACGATGCAACGGCGAGGTCGGCGTGGAGAAGATCGGGCTCCGCATCGAGCCGCATCGCCAATGTAGCACGATCCTTCGACCCCATCTGCTCGGACCCCCTCTGAGAGGTCTAAAATATCCACGCCCTCGCGATCTGCATCCCCAAACCCCCTCATGTCATTTGCGGCCACTTAGGGCCCTCGCCAGGTCCTGCAGACCGTCAAAAGACGACTCAGGACGAAAAACCGGCACTGGGGGAGGGGAAGACATCGGATCTCTGGGTCCGTAGCCACGCCCCCGCGGTCTGGATTCAGGGGCGCGATCCCGAGGAAGACAGATAGACGCTCCGCGCGGGTTCCGGCGGCTGCGCCAGCCTGACACAAGCACGCGCGAGAGACTGCCGCGCCATGGCCATGCGAACCGCGTATTCCAAAAAGCCGGCCCCAAGGAAAAAAAACACGCGCAAAGATGTACGAGAGCCCAGGTGGGCTCAGCTGGACTTGGGTTCTGCTCCTCTCCGACGTACACCTGGTGGGGCAACTTCTCGCCTGGGCCTCCCCGGCAGCCGCGAGCAAACGCCCCGCCCCGGCCCGCGAGCCCGCGCGGATACGGCGCACGGGAAGCCGCTTTGCCCCCGCCGCCCGCGAGCCTGGACGGTCCTCAGGGCCAGCAGCGCGTGCGGCGCCGTCGCCGCGGCGGTCGGCGGCCCGGCCGAGAGCAGCAGGAACGGCGAGCACACGCAGGCCCAGTAGCAGCCGTCCTCGCGCTGCCTGCGGGGCGACGCCGCGGCCGCCCGGCCGCCGCCGAAGAGGCCCGCCCCGGCGTCTCCCGGCGAGCCGCCGCGCCGCAGGGTCTCGCTGAAGCCGCGGCTGCGCCAGCGCCACAGCGCGGCCCCCGCGCCAGACAGGGGGCCGCTCAGCACGTGGACCCAGCCCTCCAGCGACGACAGTCTCGACAGCGCCGACGCGCCGCCGTGCTCTGGGTCGGGCGCCGGAGGCGACAGGGCCAGCTCCCTCGAGGAGCCGGCGGCCACCGCGGCGTGGACTCTCCTCAGCACGTGCTCGGGCACGGCGCCGCCACCCTCGGGGCACCGGTGCAGCGAGACCCAGTCGTCCAGGTGCAGCTCTCGGTCGGCCGCGGCTGGGTCGCCACCGTAAAGATGCCAGTGGAGCATCACGGCCGAGAACATCAGCTGCTGCAGCGCGTGGCAGCTCGTCAGGAAGCGCCACAAGTCCAGCCCAACGAGCTCCCCCTTGCCGCCGAACGCGTCAGCGCTGAGCTCGCGAGGGCCGTCCACCTCTAGAAGAAAGAAAACCACATAAATATAAACTTTTGGCGCTCCGCGCGGATTTCTTGGAGGATTCGCGCTGGACCCGCCTCCCTGGCGCGCGGAGTGCGCCAGGGGCGGCGCCAGAGGCGCCGCTGGGGGGCCCCAGCGCGGATCCAAGAAATCCGCGCGGAGCGCCAAAAGTTTATGTTTATATGGTTTTTTCTTCTTCGAACCTCCACAGCCGCGGCCATCGCCTTGTGCTTCCTCCACCAGACCTGCGCCAGGCCCGTGACGAGGCGATCGATCTTCCGCAGGTCCATCGGCAGCGGGAACGCGAAGAAGGCCCGCTGATGATGGGCCTGTTTTCCACCACCACCACCACCACCACCAAATGTTGGAGGGGGAGGGGGTCCTCCTCCTCCTCCTCCTCCTCCTCCACCTCCTCCTCCTCTTCTTCGTCCTCCTCCTCCTCGTCGTCCTCCTCCTTCCCGCGTCCAACTTATGGTGGTGGTGGTGGAAAACAAGCCCATCCGCTGGAGCGCCGACACCACGCCCGTGTTCCCCAGGGGCAGGGCGTCGAAGACGCTGAAGCGGACGAGCGGGCAGACGGAGAAAGCCTCCAGGGAAACCAGGCGATACCGATACTGCGACTCGTAGGTCGGGCATGTCCCCCTACAGGCGGATTTTGGGCGACAAATAGTATTGGACAAAGCTAAGTATATGTGCACAAATAATAATAAGAAAAATGATGATAATACTGCTAACAAAATAGCCTTAGTATAAGAATGCGACAAATAATATGAATATTAAAACCAATATTAATACTACCACTAGTACTACTACTACTACTACTACTACTACTACTACTACTACTACTACTACTACTACTACTACTACTACTACTACTACTACTACTACAGCTACGACTACAACTACAACTACAACTACTACTACTACTACTACTACTACTACTACTACTACTACTACTACTACTACTACTACTACTACTACTACTACTACTACTACTACTACGACTACGACTACTACCAGGGTCAGACCTCACCTTCGTGTCTATTAAGAATGAATGAAAGGGTAAGGGTAAGGGTAAGGGTTCGGGTTCGGGTTCGGGTTCGGGTTCGGCTCCACACAATCAGTTAAAACCAAATAGAATAACATAGAATAGTCGGAGTTTAATCGTACACGAAGCAGGAGTTCGGAAACCCACAATTTCGCCATTCGCTGATAAGATAACAATACAGGGGTTATAGAGCTAATAATACACGAAGATGAGGTTCGGAAGCCCACTGATTCTAATAGTACACGAAGAAGGGGTTCGGAAACCCACAATTTCGCCGTTCGCTCGTAAGAAAACAATACAGGGGCTATAGAGCCACGAAGGTGAGGTTCGCAAACCCATTGTGGAAAACGAGAAAACAGCGTTCCTCTTTTCCTGTTCGCTTTCCTCTTCCTCATCGTCCTCCTCCCCCTCCTCTTCCTCCTTCCCCTCCTCTTCATCCTCCTCCTCCTCCCCCTCCTCCTCCTGCCCGTCCCCCACCTCCTCCTCCTCCTCCTTTTCCTCCTCTTCCTCCCCCTCCTCCTCCTCCTCCTCCTCCTCCTCCTCCTCCTCCTCCTCCTCCTCCTCCTCCTCCTCCTCCTCCTCCCTCCTCCCTCCCCTCTCCCTCCTCATCCCTCCTCCTCCCTCCTCCTCCCTCCTCCCTCCCGCCTCCTCCCTCCTCCCCCCTCCTCCCCTCTCCTCCCTCCTTCCTCCTCCTCCTCCTCCTTCCTCCTCCTCCTCCTCCTCCTCGCTCCTCCTCCTCCTCCTCCTCCTCCTCCTCCTCCTCCTCCTTCCTCCTCTCCTTCCTCTCTCCTCCCCTCCTCCTGCCTCCTCCTCCTCCTCCTCCCTCCTCCTCCTCCTGCCTCCTCCTCCTCCTCCTCCTTCCTCCTCCTCCTCCTCCTCCTCCTCCTCGCCCCCCGCCTCCTCCATCCTCCCCTCCTCTCCGCCTCCTCCTCCCTCCTCCTCCCCTCCTCCCCGCCTCGGCCTCCTCCTCCCTCCTCCTCCTCCTCTCCTCCTCCGCCTCCTCCCTTTCTCCCCTCCTCCCCCTCCTCCTCCTCCTCCTCCTCCTCCTCCTCCTCCTCTCACTCCTCCTTCCTCTTCCTCCTCCTCTCTCCTCCTGCCTACCTCCTCCTCCTCCTCCTCCTCCTCCTCCTCCTCCTCCTCCTCTTCCTAACCATCACGAACCAGAAACGAATAAAGCCAAAATGCCTTCCCGAATAAAACCAGAACGACGTCTTTATCAAAACCCATTCTCAAGTGGACCAGAAGGCCACGATCCTCGTGAGGGGTGTTCCGGCATTGGGCGTCGGCGGGCCTTCGGCAGCGCTCCACATTGGGCCAGGGCCACGATCCATGTGAGGTGTTCCGAACTTCAGCGTCGGGCGGCGATCCAAATGTGGCGAGGTCTACGATCCGTGTGAGGGGTGCGCCGATATTGCTCATCGGTGGGCCGTCGGCAGCGCTCCCAGGTGGGCCAGGACACGATCCTCGTGAGCGGCGTGCCGGAATTGGACGTCGGTGGGCCTTCGGCAGCGCTCCCATTGGACCAGGGCCACGATCCTAGTGAAGTGCGCGCCGGAATCGCGCGTCGGAGGGCCAGGCCCACGATCCTCGAGAGGGTTGTGCCGAAATGAAGCGGCTGGCAGTGGCGGTTGCTCCAAATCCGACGTCGACACGAAGGACAGGTGTAAAACTGTCGATTTTTGTTCACTTTCTAATACGAATCCAATCTACAGCCTCTACAACGAATAGTGCATGAAGGTAGGCATTGGCGCGAAAGACACGAAGGCCAGGTTTGAAACTACGGTTTTCGTAATTCCCCTGGTAGGAGTTCTATTAGGCCTGATACAAAAGAAGAGTACACGAAGGTGAGGTTTGTAGCGACACGGAGACCAGGTGCAACCCTACTACTACTACTACCACTACCACTACTACTACTACTACTACTACTACTACTACTACTACTACTACTACTACTACTACTACTACTACATCTACTACTACTACTAATGCCACTGCTAATGCTACTACTACTACTACTACTACTACTACTATTACTACTACTACTACTATTACTACTACTACTACTACTACTACTACTACTACTACTACTACTACTACTACTACTACTACTACTACTACTAGTACTAGTGCGAATAATATTAATAATAATAATACTAATAATAGTAATCATAAAAATAACACTAATAATAATAGTAATAATAAGAATCATCATCATAATAGTACTAATTATATCAATATTAATAATACCACAAATAATACAAATACCTATACGAATAATCGTAGTAATACTAATGATAATATTAAGAATACTACTGATAGTGCTTTAAAGTAGAATAAGAAGAAGAATACTACATCTTTATCTAAACGACGACCCGACAAAATACTATTTTGGAATACTCCTCCTGTAGAGGGACGTGCCCGACTTAATGCTACTCACAGGGCCTCTCCTGGGGTGCGTCCTGGCCAGGATTTCGAAGCGAATGCAGCGGTGGCGACGAGGGTCTCCCAGGAGATCCACAAAGGGGAGAACGAGTGGAGGGCAGCAGTATGGGTACCTTTTCCTCCTCTGAGCCTCGCCCAGGAAGTCGCCGATCGCCTGGGGGCGTTGAGACGAAGCCCTGATGATTGCCTTCATAGCAGCGGGGTAGCTGTCGTACAGCCCGACGGCGACGACGAACGCCAGGCCGCGGCTCGGCTGCAGCTGGAACAGCCGCAGCCCAAGCTCCAGCATGCGCTTCTTGTCCCTGGCGTCCAGCTTCGCCGCTGGGGGCGAAGCCACGAACACCATCTCTGGCTCGCACGCGTCTGGTATGCCGGCCGTGTCGTCGGCGAGCCGCTCCGGCCCAGCGCCCGGCTCCCTCGGCTGCCCCCGCAGATCCGCGGCCGGGTCCCCGCTCCGAAGCTGGTCGAGGCACGCCGGCTCCATGCACAGCATCGCCGGGGACTGGCCCTGGGCGCTCAGCCGCAGCGGGTCCGCGCGCGCCTCGAGCAGCCGCTGGACGGCCTCCCGGCGGCCCATGTGGGCGGCGACGTGGAGCGGCGTCCAGCCCGCCACGTCGGCCGTGTTCACCAGCTGCGCGTGGCGCAGCAGCTCGCCTATGACGGGCAGCGCCCCGCTGCGGCAGGCGACGTGCAGGCAGGTGGACCCGTTGGAGTCCCGCGCGTCCTGCGACGCGCCCAGCCACAGCAGCCAGCGCACGGCGACGAGGTTCGAGGTCGCGCAGAAGACGAGCAGGTCCCGGTCGAGCGGGCGCAGGTGCTCCACCGTCTCGTCGAAGACCTTGCCGATGGGCGGCTCGCTGTCGCCGCCCTCGGGAAACACGCCGAGGCTGTTGACGTGGGTGAGGCTGCCGACGGCGCCGCCGCCGTCGTCGTCCTCGGTCGGGGCTGGGCAGCAGACGGCGTCGCCGCAGTGCTGGCTGCAGTGGGCGCCCATCGCGCCGATGCGCAGGCCGCGCTGCGGCCGCCGCGCCGATTTGACCCGCAGCGCCCACAGAACTCGTGCTCTCGACCGACTTGGGCGCAAATGCATCCTGCACTCCTTGCCCTACTTTTGCTGAGGCCCGAATTTCCGCACCACTTGTTCGCATCTTCTGGGGTGCTTGTCCGACACAAGTTGAACTCGGAAAACAATCCATCATATGTCGGATCCAGAGTCAGGGCGGTCGGGATCGTTTGCCCAGCGTGTCGCGGCGGCGGCCCTGGCGACACGCCATGCCCTTCGAGCGGGTAGCGTGTCGCGTCGCTCCGCGGGGCGGGCGGCTGGGAAAAGCTCGGGACTTTGACGCCTGGGGGCTGGCACGTGGATGGCGTGTCGCGCCAAGGCGTGTTGGGCCAGAACTGGCGTCGCGACACGCTCGGCGCCCAAGTGCCTGACCGTACAGCGGCGGCGTGCGCCCCGATCTCGTAGAACTTCGGGTTGCTTTCTGCACTCCACGGGGGTTTGAGCATCGTTTTACCGATCCCCATCCCCACCGGCGTGGCCTGGGCCCCACTGGCCGATTTATCCCCCTAGATGGGGATATAGGCCGTTCCCGTCGGGTTTCGAGGGGTGTATCCCCAACTGGGGTGGTAATTTGGTGGGGGTCTCGAAGGTGATGGGGATGGGGATGAGGACCGGTTATACGATACCGAGGGTTGGCACCTCGGCCAGCAGCTGGAGCTCGACGGGAGCCCTGCAGTGGAAGTGGCCACAGTCTGGTTGGCCTTCTCCGGAGCGGGGTGCATGCAGCCTGAGCTGGCCACGCCCGCCACACGCCACCCAACGTGACTCTCGCCTTGGCGCCGCGCACATTCGTCTTGAACATTGGCAAGAGCTTCGCGGATTCCCGTGGTTATTAACGTAACAGAGACGGCGTTCTGGAACAACTCTGGACTGTCAGGGCGCACCAGTTCCGTGGATTCGCGGTGCTGAAGTCCCAGGAATGGTCTTCTGGCATGATTCAGCATCGTCAAGACGCAACAGCCAAGTTGACTTGTGGCGATGAAATCCCAAGAATGGTGGTTTGGCACGCTTCAGGACCTTCAAACGGTTGTTTACCAACGGGGCAATTCCCTCAGCGAAAATCAACCCTTGTAGGGGCCTATGACGAGAGAGCTTGGATGGAGGGTTTCTCCTACATCGTTGATGAGTATTGGGTTTACGCTGGTCCTCATCCCTGCTCCTCCTCCTCCTCCTCCCCCTCTTCCTCCACCTCCTCCTCCTCCTCCTCCTCCGCCTCCTCCTCCTCCTCCTCCTCCTCCTCCTCCTCCTCCTCCTCCTCCTGCTCCTCCTCCTCCTCCTCCTCCTCCTCCTCCTCCTCCTCCTCCTGCTCCTCCTCCCTCTTCTCCTCCCTCTCCCTCTCCTCCTCCTCCTCCTCCTCCTCCTCCTCCTCCTC